AAATGAATTATGTGTTATTGCATAATGCGCTGAGAGTTTATTTTACGTGGAAAACAAATAGCGCAAATTATGTTAATGAAGCCATAATGCCAACAGGCCACGACAGGCGCGCAGATCTAGCTGACTTAGGAGATTATTTCTAGCCGAACGATTGTGACAATAAATTTGAGGCAAAGAGAAGTTGATATCAAATGTGTCACATATTTAAAATATCTTATTTGTTAGCTCTAATTGCATGTCATATGCCTAGATACCCTATACTCTGCTGCTTCTTGCCGGTCTAGGTATTTATACAAAATATTCAACTACAAAAACGGCTCAGAGATTCAAAAAACCGAAAAAGAAAAACAAAACTAGTATTCAAATGCATATTCATATTTAAGCTGAGTGGATGCACACACACATACACACACACACACACACACACACACTCATACATACATAAATGAAAAATACCAACAAGTAGTGCAAACTGAAAATGGAAATAAAATAATTGCAAAAAAAAAACACAAGCTGTTTTCCCTTTCTGCCCGCGAGGCATGGCAGAAAAGGTCTATAGAAAATGTTAGAGAGAATATGCAAAATAGGCTGAAAAAGTTGCATATATGCAAGGCACACACACACAGTCACACACACACATGTGCATTTGCATAGCAAAACAAAAGCAAGTGAAGGAAAAATCTTTTCGCTTTTTTTCTAATGCCTGTTCGCCGCACCTCCTGTCGCGCTTTTGTTTTGCCGATTTTTTAGTTGCTGCTATTTTTGGACTATGCCACGCCCACATCCCCATTACCATTATTATGTGGCGCATGTTCATGCCCAATGCGAGTACAATACAAAATTTAATTTACCGCATAGAATTTAAATACGCAAGGCTAAAGCGCCGCAACAATGGGCAAATGAAGATGGCTGGCATTCAGATACCCTGTACGGCTATTACTATAAATTGCAAACACTTCAATATGCCCGCTTGGTGCTCGGCTCTTTGCTGCGGGTACAAAAGAAAAAAGGCAAAATTTTTGCGCCTGAAAAGAAAAATTCTTTTGTTTCTGCTTTTGCGCCTTTTCCGCTGGGCATATGCAGACCCAGCCCAAGCACCTACACAGCGCTGCCAGCCCATTCCCCAGGCGACTTTCTGCAGCTTTGCCGTCGGTTTTAATTATGGAAAAAGTTTTTGCTTTATTTAGTTTAAACAATAAGTGGTTGGAAAATATGAATTATGCAAAGAGTCACACAGCCTGCCAATGTATATATGAGAGTGAGAGAGTGTGTGTGTGTCTCTGTGTGTGTGTGTGCGTGCAGACTTTTCTTAGGCAAAATGCAAATATTATGCATTCTACTTTAGCACTGCTCTTGTTTCGGTCTTTGCATTGGCAAGTGAATCGCTTGCAGCGCAGCTTTTGCTTTCCTTTTCAACACATTTTGCTTTAAGTAATTACAAAATGATTTTGAAACTCTAGAGCCTTAAGAGAAGCTGCGAAACCTTAGAGATTGCAGGTATTCATAAAAATAGTAGTGCGACGGATCAATAAATGTTGCACTACAAAATTTAGTGATAAACAAAATGTTTTGAAAATGATCTTGAACGAATATTAAGACTAACATATTTTATACTTTCTGTGCATACATTGTTTTTATTATACTATTTTTTATTTATTTTTATCAGCTCCTTAAATCAGCACTACTATTTTTATGAACAGTCGATGCATTGCAAATCGACTTTCTTTTTAAAGCCGTTAAAATGCAAGGAACTTTCACCGAAAGTAGCAGGATTTTTTCTTCTTCGCACTCTATACTAAACTAATTTTTGCTATCTTTTTATTTTCCAAGAAAAAATACTTTTCATTTACTATTTTTATGAACAACACTTTTGTAGAGAAATTCAATTCTGTATCGAAATTTAATTTAACAGAGAGCCGCTAACTCCAAGCTGAGCTTTAATAATTTGCCAGATATTTCTAAAGCACTTTATCTATTATCGAAGCGAACTCGAAAACGCTTTAAATTAAAAAACTTCTAGAATTTTGAAACGCTTTAAACACACAAACTTAAGTTGAAATATTTGTATATTTGTGTTGGTATTGTTCAGCGAGCTTGAATGGCTTTTTGGCTTATGCAAACACACGCCATACCCTGTCCAAGCAATTATCCAAGCGCACGTATTCAGCAGAAAAAAAGAAGACAAAGAGCGTGAGGGACAGAGGAAGAGAAAAACCAAACTCGAATTTGCGCATAAATTTGCAAAATGACAATAAAAATGACAATGGCTGTCGAGCGGCGGCAGCAGCCAACAAGAACAACAACAACAACAACAATTGGAGCATTGGCAGCGCTAATCACAAAGCGTTTATCAGTGCCCATGAGTAAGGCGTGACAGCGACACCTCCATACTGTGCCTCCGTGGCGCGCTGTGGGTCTCCCTGTCTACCTGTCAGTTGGTAATAAATTATTATCATTAATATTTTGCGCTTGATTTTGGCCGGAGCGCTGTTTGCCGTTGCCGTTGCCGTTGCCTTTGCCTTTGCCAGACAGGCAGACAGCTAGACGTGGAACGACGTCTATAAGCAGCAGCAGTGGCAGCCACATTTGTGGGCGTGGCACGTAACGCTCTTTGCATAAAAATGGCGAACGAAAATATCTAATAGAATAGAACAAAAGCGTCAACAAAAATGTTCAAAACGCGACGAAATTACCAATAATATAACCGAAACGAGACGAGCGGCAACGGGGCGAGGCCTGCCACGGCAGCTAGGGTCCCTTTTTGTGTGTGTGCCACAAACTTTATAACACCCTCCACGAAGTGCACGCGATAATGGCTCCCAATTTGATAATTAATCACGTCCTCATTCTTGCCGCCTGCCCGCCCCTCGTTGCTGCCTGGCGCTATCTACGGCAGTGCCACAGCTGCCCGGGCCGCCGCCGCTGTCAGGCGAGCCTGGCCGAACTAGGCGCTTGAGCTTCATATTTTCCATTAGTCGGCTTCCTCTTCTTCTACTGCTTATTTTTCCTTCTGTTTTCTTTTTATTCTGCTTCTCGTTTTCATTTTATTTTTCAAGCCGACGTCGAAATTAAGCGAATTTCAACGAACGATAAAATAATTACCTTTATGATTATTTTCGCCACGACGGGCGAATGTCGTGAGACGAGCGATAGCAATTGTAACAGTATATATGCTGTATATATATATATATGTGGGGGTGTGTGTGTTTGTGTGCGGCAACGCCCACAATGTGGCAAACGTGTCTAATTTAGCGGCTTAAATTTATTGCATTGGTGCGCTTAAAATGTTTGCCAGTTCGTTTTTATGGCCCAAAATTGAAGCAATTGATGGGAGTTGGAAAGTTTGGGTCGACGCGCATAACCGTAAAACTTCTTAGGCAGCTATTTTATAGGCAAATACATACAGATGCCGTGAAGCTTTAGGCAACTTCTTCCCGAGGTGCTACAAATTGCTAAGCAGGTTGCAAAATTTGATTCGTATCTGTGGAAAACAAATATTTGGAATCAAATTTAAAGTAGCTAGAGTCAAGTGAAAAAGAGAAAAGCAGAGAAGAGCTTGACACACATATAAAAAAATCAAATATATATATATATATATATGTGTGTGTGTGTGTATGTGTTGGTAACACTTCTTGTTAGCCTAGTGTAATTTGTAGTCAATTATCGAATTGTATTTGTCAAGCCTTCAATTGCTAGACTAAAGCTGACTTGATAGCCCACCTGCCTCAATTACCTTGACGGCGCCCCGCAGCAAGTTGCAGTTGCATGTTTAGCAGCTGCGCCAGGAACTTGACACACACCGAACTAGGCAGCCGCAAATGGCAGCAACTCAAATTGAAAGCGTAGCTGTACTTTGATTTCTCTTTTTTTTTTGTAACTCTGTCATTTGGCTGCCAAATTAGAGAGCCGAGCAGCCAGCGCCCTCGGGGCGGCCCCCCTTTAGGGGGCAACCGCAATCAAATTGCATGCGCACGAAAATTAACTGGAAATGTTGAGTTGCTGGCAAACGCAAAACCAAAATCAAACATTTGCCATATTTTGTGCAGTTGTAAAAATCAAGGAAACACGCAACGCGAATTGCACGTTGCACGTTGCACGTAGCGAGCTGCAAGCTATCAGAATGACTCGCATCCGTTTGGGCCAATCAAGCAAACAAAATGGCGTTTTGTTGTTTCCGCTTTTGCTTCTTTCCCCTTTTTGGTTTAAGGCAGAAACAAATTTGTGAGCTGTGGTCGCAATCAAAAGCCCAACAACAACTAGCGGGCGGCAGCAACAAGAAATGCGAATTCACAACACGAAATTATTCACCTTGTAAACGGCATAGCAGGCGAGTGTATGCACAGTTCAGCGCATTCAAATATATCAGTTGATGCGGGCAAAAAACTAGAGAGAAATACCTAGAGTTATTTGTGTTTATAACCGGCTGGCAACAACAACCAAAGCAAAAAAACGAGCAAGCCAACAAATAGCCCAAAGGCTTCTGTGCGAGCCAAATGCATTTGCAATGCAAAACTGGAGCACAGGAAGCGCGACGAGGCAGGACAAGGACACACACACACACACACACAGGAGACTGTCATGCGACTGTTGCATCTGGCTTCACACTCGTTGAACGCTTCGCAAAAATTTATTTATGACCGACGCTTTGTTGTTTACTCTCTTCTGGTTCTTCTGCTAGCGCAACTGGCACTCAATAAAACAAAAATCCTGTTGTCTGTAGCTGTGTGTGTGGCGGATGTCATAGCGGTTTTTGCTAGCGGTAAGCAAAGCTTTGCGAACCGTTAGAGGCAGCTGTGCTGTGCTGCGGTTTCTATTTATGACAACAGCAACAACCGAAAAACCTAACCAAAATCCATGCGCTGCATTATTTATGCATGCAACACACACACACACACACACGCAAATCCTGGACAACACACAACTAAATCGCCTGCTCCTCTCTCGCACTCTCTCCATCTCTATGTGTTCACTGATTCACCTTAACTGTTTTTGTTTTGCAGGGCTCGTCCAGTGCCGCTAGCGTCGCAGCCGCACCGCCAACGCCGCGCAGCGCTTTTCCCGGCGCACCGTTGACCGCCTCAGCCGTCGCACTCAAAGGCGCCATACCACAGCGTCCACCGGCCATGACCAGCCCAGCTGCTGCTGCTGCTGGCGCCGCTCTAGCAGCGGGCGCACCATATCGCGGTGCCACCAGCTGGACACCCCAGGGCTATGCACCAGCTGCTGCCGCCGCCGCCGCTGCGGTCGCCCAGCAGGCCTATCGCTATACGGCCCCATTGCCCCAGCCGGCATACGCGGCCTATACGCCGCATACGGCCACCACGCCGGCCACAACCACGGTGAGTAGCGTTTCATAAACTAAAAACAATGCGTGCACCACCTGATGGGCGTGGCTAATGCCAGTTGCTAGTAAAACATGACACTGCGAACATATATTTTAAAATATTTTAATGAGAGTTGCAATAGCTTTATGGCCTTAACTAAAGTTTTGGTATATTAAGTACAGTTTTTTTTGGTATTTGAACTAAAATGAAAACCAGTTAAGATCGAGCTGTGATTGATATCCCATACCTGAATCTGAACTGAATTTAACTTTGCTAACATATTCGATAATTTAAGCTAGCTGCAAGCACTTCTTCATCAATATTAATAATAGCTATAACAGCTCTTAACTATTTAAGTTAATATTGGACATATTCCGTCCAATTGGGCACAAAAGTTTCAGAAGTGAACAACGTTTCCAGTCGCACATAAACAAATATTTGGCAAAGAGCACAAACATAATTCGAGGCAAGTTTCGAGCCAAGTTTCAAATGGCAAATGTCTGTAAGCTGTGCCCATTTACATCGATGAGTGCTCTTCGCCATGTAATGAACCGCATAATCGCAAATTTATGTGCGCCCATCAAAAAGCCAAATGGTTCTTGAGCGTTTTACACTTCAAAAAACTACCTCTATTAGCTCGACTGGGAGAGACGAGCAACAGCCCGGAGACCCTTGAGCTTTGGCTTATTGATTGTCGAGCGGAGTTTTTCCTGATTGGGCGGCACTCGCAGAGGCAGAGAGAGAGAGAGAGGGAGAGGGAGTAAGACAAGTGCTGTCATTTATTGTAAATTGGTCGAGTGTCAATTTATTTATAGCACGCACTAAGCTCTCTATGTGTCTATGCCTTTCTCTGCAATTCTCAAGCCCGTTTCCCTCGACTGTGATTGGCGTGAAAAGTGCTTATATTAATTTGCTGCGATTGCAATTTGTGTAGGCTGTTTGCTGCACAGTGGGCGGGGTGGCAGGCGGAGCTGCGTGGCAGGGGCAATCAATTAGTTTTGTGTTGTGGCTGTTGCCAGGCGGCATTCATCAAAGTCAGCTGAAAGCTTAACTGACTGCCGCCGGCCATTCATTTTTGTCATTTTCAATTTGACAGTCAACGGCAACAACAGTAGCAACAATGGCATCATTAATAACAAACAATTAAGAAGTTCGTGAATGACAGACGAGAGTCGGAGCTAAGCTCTGACTGTCTCTCTGCCTGTCCGTCTGTCTAGCTGTCCAGCAAGACCGCACCATCATCATTCGCAGTAGGAGCAGGCAGGCAGCCAGCGTTCTCTGCACTGCTTATCCTGACAAAGCTCCAATGTCAGAGCCCACGCAAGCTCGCTGCCAATAATCCCAGCGAAGGGTGGATGGCGGCGGGGGAGTAATCGGGACTGGTTTGATATCTTTCTATCTCCATTTAGAAAACCCAATTGAATCGGAATCAGCGCATGAAGCAAAGTCATGACGAATGATGTTTGCTGAATTTGACAAATTTCACGTTGCCACAGCAACAAATTCAGAGCCAGCTACCACACCCAATCGCCAGTCCCACTCTCCCACTCGCTCTCTCGCTCTCTCCCTCTCTCGTGACTATCTTACTTAAAATGGAGCCTTTTACTCACAGCTTCCGATGCCACCTCGTTATATGCATCCTTTTATCTGCTCTTTCAGGCAGCATTTTCAAATTTGATTTACAAATGATTTTCAATTCGCCACGGAACGCCTGACGCTGACAACATGTCAGCGAGTTCAAATTGCCAGCACTGGCTGGCGCTGCTGTCGACACTGTCTCCCTAGCCCCCTCCCTCTCTCTGGCTTTTTATTATCCACTTTTCTTTCTTTTATTTTTAGCATGCGTGTCTAACCTTCTATATATTTTTTGTCTTTCATATTTTTTTGCTTAAGCATTTCGTTGCTTAAGCAGCTATTACGCTGCGAACACCCCTGTCAGCCCTGTCACCCCTCCACCCTACTCAGCGCTTGCTTAAAGCAATCGCCTGCGATGTTCAGCTTATTGTTGTTGTTGTTGTTGTTGCTGTTATTTTGTTCAATGCTTAGGGCAACAACTTCTAATAAATGCGCCGAAAAGTGCTGAAAATAAACGAGCAAATAAATAACCGAACCGTGCCTACCCTTATTCCGCAGTCACCTCTGCTGCTGCTGCTGCTGCTTCTGCTTCTTCTTCATTTTATTTTGGTCTGCCCGCAGGTAACCGAAAACGTTTCTTCTGCCGCTTCTTCTGCTTCTGCTTTTATTTTTTTAGCCGATTGTCGATGCCTTTGCATTGGTTTTCGTGGCTTCTGCGGTTCGAGAGTTGTCGCCACGCCCCCTCGCCGCCCGCCCGCTAGCTCGCCCTCGGGCGTCCTTTACGTTTTATTTTTATTTGCTATGCCCCGCCATTCGTTTCGTTTCGTTTCGTTCGCTTGCCTTTCATTCAGCAGCGTTCCAACATTTCCACGTCCTTTGTCCTTCTCAATGTCCTGCCGTTTGCCGACGCCGCCGCCATCAATAGTAGTTAAATAATCCAAGGAAATGTATTTTTGTGGGCGTCGCCCATGCCCCACCTGCCACCTGTCTACCAGCTCCTGAGCTAGCGAGTCACTCATTTTTCCATTACTCGTTACCTTAAATTTTTGCTGCTCACTTTTTATATACCCTAGCTCGATTGAAAATAGAGTGTTTGGCACTTTTTTGAATTGGAAAAGCAAAAGATATTAAAGAAAAACTAGCTTAAATGGAAAGGGAGTGAAGAGAGTGGTAGTGGAGAGTAGTAAATGGAGCAGTGTTAGAGAGCCATAAATGTAGTGTTGAAGTATATATATGTAGAAGTAGTAGATAGAGTTATATTAGAGAGAGTGATATTATAGTAGTAGGCATAAGAGTTATATTATAATAGTAGACAATAGAGTAGTAAGAAACTAGTAGAAGATATGTTAGTCTACAGATGAGTAGATAGAGTAGTAGTTTAGTAGTAGTTTAGTAGTAGAAATAATAGAAGTGTAGTAGTGGAATATAGAGTAGTAATATAGTAGTAGAAGAGAGAGTAGTAGTAAAGTAGACAAAGCAGATAGAGTAGTAATAAAGTAGTAGAAGATAGAGTAGCTTGCAAATGAGTAGTATATAGCAGTAGATAGAGTGGTAGTAGATGATAGAGTAGTCATATAGTAGTAGATAGATTAGTCGTATACTAGTATAAGATGGATCAATATACAGATCAGTAGCGTATATTAGTAGATAGACTAGTGGTACAAAGTAGTAGAAGATATAGTAGTAGGCAGATCTGTAGTGTATAAAAGTAATATAGTAGTAGCTAGCGTAGTATTAAAATAATAGAGAATAGAGTAGTAGGTAGATCACCAGTGCATAGTAGTAGAAAGAACACAAATATAAAATAGTAACAAACTATTAGGCGGAAACAAGACAACAATAATACAAAATAGTAATATAGTAGTAGGCAGAGTAGTAGTATATAAATATAAAAGCAGGGCGTAATAGTATAATAGTAGAGATAACAGTAGTAGACACTGCAGTAGGCAGTAAAAGAGTAGCCGAAGAGCTAACAGCTACAGATCACCTGAATAGTAGTATAAAAAACATTAGTTTTAGTGGTAGAAAAAACATAGTAGTAGTAGCGGAGTAGACAAAGTAAATAGCTAGTATAGAACAGCTGAATAGTAGTAGAAAGGACAGTAGCTTCGTAGTATAATTGTGTAGGGTATCCCGTAGTCTTACCCAAGCCACCCAGCATATTGGCCAGGCAGTTGGCCATTAAAGCTGCATGCGAATGCTACTCATAAATATTAAGTGCGGCTACTTATTTTTGTTTTTCTTTTCTGTCCTGTTCTGTGCGTTTTTTGCTGCTTTTTCTGATTTTCTTTCTTTTTTCTGACAGCCTTTTTGCGTCGTGTCGCCCCCTCGGGTCATAGATTATCGCATTTGATTCAAGTGTCGTTAGTATGTAGCCCTGCGGCAGCTAGAAACAAAAACAAAAATACATTTTGTATATGTATAGATTATATTTTGTGTGTGCAGCCCTCGTTGCCAGGACGCCAAACGCCCACACTTCACGCCCCTCGAACCGGGCTCGAGCCCGGGCTGCTGCCGGTGCTCGTGCAACGTTCTCCCCTGGGCCGCTATCGCGCTTGATAACTCGGACGCTGATAAGGCCAAATGGAATTTGTTTTAATTATAATTGGCTTTTCTTTCGCTTGAAGTGCTCTCGACTGTGGCGCCGCCACCCCAAAAGCTTAAAAGTGCCTCGCAAATTTGTTTGTCAAGGACGCGCTGATTGCATTTTGTTGCTGTTTCTGTTGCTCAAGGTGAAAGCTGCTCGACTCAGCGCTTGATGCTGTGATAGCTCCGCAGTTTAGTTAGCAGCATTATTAATATAATTATAATGTACTTACTTTACTTACATCTCTTACTTTCTAATTAGCTTATGTTAACTTTTGTTGAAAGTTAAAGCTGAATGGAGCCAACGAGCGCATTGATTGAGCGAATAGCTCAATTCATTCAGCACCTGTTTCGGTTCAATTGCTTGAGTCGACTCATCTTGCAATCGTATCAAAAGTTAATAACATGTATTAGATTCAAGTGCTCCAGCTCTAGTCATTTCCCTTATCTAACATTTTGCTTATCCAACTGCAATTTCTAGCTAGCAACTCCCATTGCGCACTGACATTCACTTCGGGAGTCAAGTTCTGTGCCATTATCCAAGACTAATATTAATATTGCGATGCTGCTGCTGCTGCTGCTGCTGCTGCTGCTGCTGCTGCTGCTACTGCTGCTGCTGCACGCTACTTCCGTATCAGCATGTGAACAAAACGCAAATCCAATTGCCTGCACAAAAACAATTGCCAGCAGCTGCTTGGTCTTGGCCAACAGAGCGAGAGAGAGCGCTATCTAAGCCGCTTGCCTAACAGCTTCTTGGCTGCATTATGCCCTGGTGAGCGAGTTCGTAGTTGCTTTTCAATTGCGGTTGCCTGGACATATAGAAGATAATCATCAGATGTAGCAAGCAGACAGAC